ATGTTGGTAGCAGCTTCATGATTTGGAAACACCTCAGGTTAATTGTGGTAAGGGTTATTGACTAAGGTAGACAATTCAACATCGCAACGGGTGTTGAGTGCACGAACCTTGGTTAAGAATCCCTTTTGTCGTTTTCTATATGAGACTCTCCTCTCAGTGTTATTTTCAATGAAAGCAAACTTCACTTTCGTTCTAACCATTGTCAAAAATGAGGAAGAGGAGGAGAAATGTGTTTATTAGGATATGGGGGATGAAATGGATTTATTATTCTTATTGTTGTTGTGTGTTTCTTTGGTAAGAATTGCCTCCTATTTATAGGGTGGAAATTAAGTTTTTGAATTAGAGGATACTTAGTTGTCAAGGGTACTATTTTGACATGAAAATAAATGAGGGTAGATTTGATATCAAATTAGATTTTGCCATCTTGACATAAATGTAGTTATGACTCTAGTCTTATGCTGAACATATATTTTTGAGTTAAAGTTTTCTTATTAGGAAAATAATTTAATTAATTTAGATCTAGGTAAGTATTATCCATCAGAGATGGCCATAGAGTGTTAACAATGTTTTTTTTGGAAAGGAAGTCTGAAAAATTGTATATTTTATTTATGAATGTAAAAAAAATATTGAAACAAGTGAAAATTTCAAAATTGGCCAAAAACTTTGAAATATTAATTTTTAAAAATATTCCAATAATATAATAAAATTTATTTAATGATTAATAAAACTTAAATATTTATTGAATATTAAATAAAGATATGTGTATGGTTATACCAATTGCAGTGCTATAAAAGAACACTATAATTTTCTCCGATTTTGGAAGAAATCATATTTAGTAGAAATTTTATATTGCTTTCAACAATATTAAAAACCAAATCATGCTCAAATTTTAATTTTGTTACATTAAAAATAATTCTAAATTAGTTTCCAGCAAAAGCCATACATAAAACAATTGCACAAGATACTTACCAAACTAATGTGTTTACACATATTGAGGAAATAAGGGAATGTTGTTTCATTTTAAGAATAATATTCAATTATATTAAAAATCAAATCATGCTCAAAGCTTGTTATTATTACATTAAAAAAAATTCTAAATTAGTTTCGAGAAAAAACAATACATAAAATAATTGCGCAAGACACTTATCAAACTAATGTGTTTGTTTACACACATTGAGGAAAGAAAAGAGAATTTTGTTTCATTTTAACAATAGTATTCAATTATATTAAAAATCAAATTATGCTAAACTTTTGTTTTGCTTAAATTAAATTCTAAATTAGTTTCAAGCAAAAGAAATGCATAAAATAATTGCACAGGACACTTACCAAACTAATGTATTTACACATATTGAGGAAAGAAAAGAGAATTTTGTTTTATTTTAAGAATACTATTCAATTATATTAAAAATCAAATCATGCTCAATTTTTATTTTTGTTATATTAAAAAAATTTCTAAATTAGTTTCGAGGAAAAGCAGTACATAAAATAATTGCACAAAATACTTATCAAACTAATGTGTTTACACTTATTGAGGAAAGGAAAAGAGAATTTTGTTTCATTTTAAGAATAGTATTCAATTATATTAAAAATAAATCATGCTCAATTTTTTTGTTACAGTAAAAAAAATTCTAAATTAGTTTCGAGCAAAAGCAATGCATAAAGTAATTGCACAATACACTTACCAACTAATGAGTTTACATATATAGAGGATAAAAAAGAGATATTGTTTCATAGGACCTGCAAACTTGGTATGTGTAACAACAATTTCGTCCATAGTTGAAGTGTGTTTTGTACCCTTTTCCCTTTTAAAAATAGTACGCAAAAAGAAGAGGAGGAAATACATGTAGACTGTCTTACTAATATTTTATGAAATGAAGTCGATATTTTATGATGATTTTTTTTCTCCCCCATGGTAACTAAGTTAAATTTCAATTATCTTAGGCTCTATATTTAAGTTTATTCGATCTTTTCTAGCTATTGTCTATCTGTATAAGCCAAAGCGAAAGAAAAAGAAAAAAATATATTGAATTTATGTCGTAAGTTATGATTTTGTCGCATGTTGTTTAACAGTTAAAAGGTCATAATATAAACTTAATTAGTAAAATTTTCTATCTCCAAATCATTTTTTTAGTTTCAATCAATAATGTTTCGCTATCAAAAAATAAGAAAGTCTTGACTTTTGGGCTACGTTAATCTCTTCATTCACACAAGTTTCATGTTCCTTGTCATGTCTTTCCCTTATCTACACTATAAGAAAGTCTACTAGTATTGTAAGTAAAAATAAAAGAACAAACAATAATCACATATAGAGTGTAATTATCACGTACAATATTTTTGTGAGTTAAATTTAATGGGTTAGTAAGGTCACAATTTAAACCTAGTTGAATCTTTGTTCTTTCCATATTCATGCTACAGTTATGAGAAAAAATATGTCATATTATAACATTGCAAATGGATATTTAATGGCTAAAAGGTCACAATTTAAACCTAGTAAAATCTTCCGTCATTTTTTATCAACCATAGAAGTAAATATGTCATACTAAATATATTCTTTGCGAGTTGAAAGTTTAACAGACAAATGATCACAACTTAAGCTTAGTAGAAGTTCAATCATCTTTTATTTAAAACCTATATGTAAATTATGTCATATTGCAAGTTTAAAAATTTAACAGTGAGAAGTCACAATTTAAATCTAGTTGTATTGTTAATCATTTTTAATTAATCATATAAGTAAATTTATGTTATACTATTAATATTACTTGCGTGCTAAAAATTTAACGGCCAAAATATCACAATTTAAACCGAATTATCTCTTTTATCTTATTTAATGTCATACAATATCTTTCGCAAGTTAGTAAGCTTAGCATACACAATATCGCAATTAAAATCTAGCTGGATCTTCTATCCTTAACCATATACTAAAAGGAAGTTAATATCTCCAAAGGTCACTAAACTTGGAAAATTTATCTAGTAAAATCATTAAACTTTGTTTTGTATCAATAAAATCACTCAACTTACACATTTGTATCAATAAAATCACTCTTAATGCTTTTTTGACTTGTCTACCACAATATACCCTTACCTGTGAATTTCTTCATCTTCTTTCTTTTTTTCTCCCACAATTCTCATCAAAGCTAATAAACTGACTAAATGAACTAACTTTTAACAAACATAAAAATCAAAAACAATTCTACTCATACTAATTAAAGACTATTCAAGTTAATAATTTGACAATCTATGACAAGATCCAATTCCATCAACAAAGACCATCTCCAAGACAAGCCAAATAAGGTTCTTATATATTATTCTTAATTTTAATCCCAACACATTTTAGCTGAACTTCACAATATCTTTTCTTTTCTTTTTTGGGTCTCTTAATTATTTTATTTTAGAAAAAACTCTTTATAACCAAATTAATCATAAGCAAACAAAAAATATTAATTCCATGAGTTGCTAGAGTGAGGTAAAGTTTAAACCAAAATACATCGTAACAAATTCACGAGATTAAAAGTGATTTTATTGATACAAAGATCAAAGTTGGGAGATTTTATTGATATAAAGGTCTAAGTTGAATGATTTTTTTTTTATACAAAACAAAGTTCAATGATTTTGCTAGATAAATTCTTAAAAATTTAGTGATCTTTAGAAATATTAACTCTAAGAAAAAGCAAGTTGTTTTCACCACTGAACTCATTGCAAAGAGAAAAATAAAAAATGAATTTACTCTCCCAAATCTCATTTCCTCTCTTCCAAAAATTGGAGTGATTACACATTATTTAAGGAGGAAAATAATTAATAATCTTTATCCAAGAAAGGTTATATATGTGGGTATAAATACTTCTTTTCTTTTTCTGTTTCTGATTTTCTTTTTCATATATATATATATATATATATATATATTCTTTTTTTTAAAAATGTTTTCCAAGGAAAACAACGTTTTTTTAAAGCATTTGAATATAACGAAGAAACAAGTACGCCCTACAACAGTTAATCCACATAAAGAAAAAATCTTAGCTGAGCGAAGAAATTTCAACCTGCCTAGCAATATTTGGATTAAATATCTTCTTTAATTTCTCAAGAAAATAATATCTTCTCCCCTTAACATTCATTCATCATCATTTTTTTATTTTTCCATCATGATTATAAATTTTGGCAACAATACAACTCGATTAAGGATGTTAAAATCAAAACATAAATGAAGGCAAGTAATATATTAAGTGTTTGTTATAATGTTCTCATACTTTAATTAACCACACAAAAAGTACACTACATGAAAAATGATTTTTAGCGGCAATGAATTAACGATAATAACTCAATTACCGCTATGTATGTATTTTTAGTGGCAATGAGCACACTTTAATTTGTAGATGTCCCTAAAGGCTTTAGCGACATTGGATTTGATGGCTCTGAACTATTGTCACGCTTAGAAAGTTATTTTGAAACTGAAGTGCAGACATATCTAGTTATAATTAAACTCTAACTAGCAAGATTAGATCAACGGAGATGACAATAATTGGATTGATCAAGGAGGCGCTATTGCCTGATAAATTCGATACATGAAAAGTATTTTCTTAGAGTAAATATGAAGAATAACTATAATTAACCTTCTATGTGAAAAAACTAGACAAAGCATATTCAGTAAGCAAAATAAATTACAGCCTTTTTGACAAAGCAAGAAATTAAAGTTGGAAGTATAAATATACTCCAATAAGATGGATCTTAACAGACTTGTAAAACAATATAAATAGCAGACATTGATCATATATCCTTATAAGTTGTTGCGGTGGTAGTGATTTGAATCTTGTACATTAATGTCGAATGATGTATCATCAAGTAAATTCATTATCTCATCATCATTCAAACTCAACAACTCAGAAAATGAAGGACTCTATAGAATGCCTATTGAGCCATCAACATTGTTATCCATTGGCACTGATGCACTCATGGAGGGGATATTCATCAAAGGGTCTATTTGTGGTGCCGTTGGAGGAAACACTAAATTAGACATTGGAGGAGCTCTGTGGAATGCCAAATGATCCATTAACATTGTTCTCTATTGGCGCTGATGCACTCATTGAGAGGATATTCGTCGAGGGGTCTATTTGTGGTGCCATTGGAAGCATTGATGAAGACATTGAATAAGTCATTGTATAGGCCATTTCAGGATACCTTTGTGAAGATAACAAAGAAGGAACCTGTTAAAGATCCACAAGTGGAACTATTTGAGGAGGAGTCGTCAAAGGGAACATGAATTGAGGTATTTGAGCAGGAGCGTTTGAAGGAACCATTAATGGAGCCGTCAGAGGAACCATCGATGTTGGAGTTACATCAGGAACCAAATTAAGAGGATCCCTTGGCCTCTCGAAGTTGGTCCCACTAGGTACAGTAGATGAAACCAAAAGAGGAATCTCGGATAGTATTGGAGCATCAACAGGGGCCAAAAGAGGAGACCATGACATGTCGAATGTAACACCCCTCAAAATGAAATAGGATAATTAGAGCTTCACGTGCGTGTTAGTAGTTGATAAAATTGTATACATGTTTGAAATGAGTTTATAGGTCAGTTTGGTTGAGTTTGAAGTCAAACGTCATTGGGCACTGAAAAAGCTGTCCAAAGCCGGCCAAGCCAAGGGTGGGTTGGTAAATTTCCCCCTTGGCTAATTAAATGTTTGGGCATTTATTTTAAGAAGTTTTTATTATTTTAGGTATATTAGAACATTTAAATGAGGGTTATAACTTCATTCTTCAAATTAGAATTTCCAAAATCATTCTCTCTCCAAAAACTCTCTCTAGTTCATAGAAGAAGAAGAAGAGCTAGGGCTTGGAATTGGTGAGTTCTTCATCAAATTTCGAGTGGATTCTTCAAGAGAGGTATGGTG